TTTTTATGTTCTAAAAAATTTCTTTTTTCATTTTAATATCTAAAAACTATAATTGATTAACTATCAAATAAAAAAAATCAGATGACTTTTATTGAAACTTATAAATTTTTATACAACTTAAAGATCTTCAATTTTATTATATATTACTAAGTAAAATTTATAAAATCCGGAAATTTATTGTAGGGCAGTATAGTATTTTGCGATCCCTTTGGGATCTGTTCTTTCTTCACTTTTTTTTTACTTGAGATATATTAACATTAATTTCAACATCAGCTTCAGCCTCAAACTATGACTCTGATTCAGAAGAAGAACTTTTAGAGCTAAAAGAGCTATTCTCAGACTCTGATGAAAAAGTATTATCAGAAGAATCTGAATCTGATTGATTGTCTACTTTAGCTATATAGACTTGACTACCTTTAGATTTTTTCTTCTTAGGCTTATTTTTTGATTTCTTTTTCTTTATTTTAGAAGACTTGCGAGTAGATTTATAATTACTTTTATGTAATTTTTTAACCACATTAATTTGTTTGAAAAGCTTGGTATAGTTGGAATTAGTAACACCTAATCTCCTTATTAATTTATTGTTAATATAATTATCTAAAAATGTAAGATCTCTTGATACATCAGATGGCATTCCCAAATATATTGCACATATATACATCTTTTTTAAAGTCTCATTATTCTGATGATACACTTGAGCCAGTTGAGCTAGTTGCACTTGTAAAGATACTATTTTGTTATTTAACTTTTCAATCTAAGCTGAAGTAGCTTCTAAAGAACTGATTTTATATGAGGGTTGATGCAGAGTTGTTCCAAGAATTTGCATGATACTATATCTCTTAATTTCCTCTAATTTCTTAATTAATCCAGGTAGAGGAATCTCTAAGCTGATTTGTCTTACTTCTATTTGGTTATCAGGCTTAAGACCTTGAAAAAATTGTTATTTAACTAATTTATCTTGATTTATAGTAGGAAGTAAAGGGTATACTAATTTAATTATTCTCTTTAAGTTAGCATAGAATCACCCTATAGGATCATTATCTTGAATAAGTGACTGAAATTTAACTTTAGATTTTTCAGCAGTAACCGTTAGAAAGTCATGTAAAAAGGTATGTATCTTTTAAAGATAGATACCATAATTAAGAAGTTGCAACTCGATAAGTTGCAACTTCTTGTAAATTTATTTTAATATAAAAATTCATAAAATGTTGCAACTCAAAGTGTTGCAACTTAAGTTACAACTAGTTAATAATTTTAAAAATAATTATGGGAATCATCTTTAGTATCTTCTATCCAACAAACATTTTAGATTACCACCCACATTAGCATTTGGTGCATTTGGTGATTTGGAATTAAAAGTATTGGGCAACCACCTGATATAGATCAGTCTTCTTCCCAAATAATATGTCCTGATACTAATGGATTAGCAATTGTATTATTATCAGCTGGTATAGTATTTCTTGTATGAAAAGCACCACCCCAAAACTGATTAACATTAATAGTACACAATGTATTATTATTAACAAAATCATTAATAGCACTAATATTTGCAAGATCAGTATTATCGCTAATATTTTGCAATTCCTAGTTTCTTCCCTTTATCTCAGTTTCATACTAATCTTTTGCATAATCTAGTAAACTTGATTCAAAAAGTCCATTAATGCGAATTCAGTGTTAATAACCTATGTTTAGATCATGATTGGAAAAAGCTTCACATCATTAACACAAATCTCTTATATAATCTGCTGGATCTTCACCAGCTAAACTATGAAATTTTGGAGGCAGATATCCTGCCATACCTATATGTTGTATATTTGATGGGTTATTCTGAAGTGTTAAAATTTTTCCTGCAAATTTAAAATATTCTGATCTCTTTGCTTTATCACTAACTGAAAAACAAACTTTTCACGTAGCAATTCACCAATATGAGTTTTTTTTCTTGCTATAATAACTAACATCCTATTTACCTGGTTTTAGACATTAGTCTGCAACTGTCAGGTATTTTGCTGAAGGTGGTTAACGTTGAGCTGATATAATAGCTGTTTAGCAAATTTTTCTCGTAATAATTCTTGGACACGTCTATTTTTATCCCGATATGAGAAATACCAGTGATGAGATTCTTGTCTCTCATTATGATAGGCTAACATAGCCAAGTTCTGCTCTCATTGAGCATTATCTTTTTCCCTTATAACTGCATCCTTTTCTCTCACATTTCTTTCAGCTTGAACTTGAGATTTATCTAATAAATGTTGTAATCATAAATTCTAATTTCCACTATAATGCAAATCATCTACAGTCGTCTCCCTCTATAGTCACCCCCTGTACAATCACATCATATAAATCCCTCATTATAAGCACACATTTCGTAAGAACCAATACCTATTAATGCAATATAAAAAAACCTCATTATAATCACAGTGTTTTTATAATCATACCATTCCAGAACCAACGCTTAGTAACAACAAATAAAAATCCCCCTGTATAGTAACTTTTTATTATAATCACACTATTTATTTTTGGTCCTAAAGGGTGTGACTATAAAGGGGAACGACTGTATAATCAACATTAGTCTAAAATTTATATATAATATATCATAACTTACACATGACTTTCACGTGATTTACACATGACTTTTATAACAAAATATATATGAAAATTAACTTTTATTCTTCATTTAATTTTTTATAAACATATTCTGGAATCCTTCTATGAGATTTGTATTTTTTTACTGCATATTTAACAAGTTTACCTGTTATTTAATTCCTATATATATTCATATAATGTCATGATTTTCTTGCAAATTGATGAATTATTATTATTTTAACAGAAGTCAATGCTTTTGAAACAATCTCTTATAACCCTTTTCATGAATAATTGCAATTTTTTCTTACAAATTGTTTGGCAGCCCCCAATATTGTTCAATAAAGTTTAATTCACAATGAAATTTAGGAAGAAAAATACAGATGTGGCTTACCTTTTTAATTACTTCAGCCTAAGGTTGTGAACGAAATTAAGAGTTTAGACAGACGTCTAAATAGTAAAAATAAAACTTGGTTAAATTATATTAAAACCTTATTGAAAAATCTGCGAAATTTGGAAAAAAATAAAACTATATCAAAGCTTATAAAAATGGCGAAACTATATCAAACACTTAG